CTCAGTCTCAGTCTGCACAGGATTTCAGGCACGGGGGAAGGCAGTAGGTTGGCAGGGACCCTCAGGTGGTGGCAAGAACCCTCGGGGTGGTGACACTCGTGCAGCTGTGGCCGTACTTGGGGCTGAGCATGGTGCCCAGGTGCTCCCCTGGGCTGCGGTCGGGGCCACACCAAGCATGGGGAGTGAGGAGTGGGGAACAGGGAAGGAGGGAGAAGGGGACTGGGGAAGAGCCACTTCCCTGCCCCGCTGCCCTGCGCCAGGTCCCCAGGCCCCCTCAGAGCCCTCCCCGCTGGCACGGAGCCTCGCGGCCCCTGGCCTCCCACCCGTACCTTCCTGCACGTCCTGTGCTGGCGTTCGCCTTGTCCCCGCGGGACGCTCACAGCCACCAGGAAGTGACAGCGGTGACGGCCGGTGTCAGCCTGGAGAACTGTGCTCATGCCACAAGGGCAGCACCGGCTCCTCCCGCACCAGCCCCCAGCTTGGTTTCGATTCTGTGCAGCCCTGGAGGTGCGGGCAACTCTAACGCTACTTCCTGTAATTCCTGTAATTCCTCCAGAAACAGTCCAGCCTCAGAGTTATTTAACTCCTGCGATGATCTGTGTTTATTTTTCAAGCAGTTCCTGCTGCTGGTGGGACTGGAGGCAGAGCCCTGACAGAAGAAGGGCAGGAGACGAGGCAGCTGCAGCCTGCACCGCGGTCAGGGGCTGGGATTTCCCGAGGCTGCCTCTCCTCTTCCCACTCCTTAGGCTGTGCTGTGCCAGGCTCAGGGCACATGGGGCAGCAGCCGTTGGTTACAGCCGGAGGCACAGCGCAGGGTGCAAAGTCCTGCCCCAAAACCTCGCTATCTGTGTGCGTGAGCCAGCTCTGGCCCTGCTGGGGCCGTGCAGGGCAGGCCGAGGGCCTGCGGTGATCCACCACAGAATCCAGTGGGTTTTTTTGGCTCAGCACGTGACTTCTTGTAAAGGGGGTGCTTCAGCCCGGCCGTTTGAGCACTCTGTGCATTTCTGGGCTGCTGGGGTCTTCGGCATGCACTTCTGCTTTCTCTTTCTGCCTTCATGCTGCTCCTGATGGTCCCCGGGGACTGCTGCTGGGGCCTTGGGGCCGTGGGCTGCCCACACCATGGTGTCGAGGCCTGGCAGGGAAGCCGGAGCTAGTCTTGGGGCTAGGGGACACACCGACAGCTGTCTGACACCGAGCCCAGATGAGCTGCTCCCGGCTCTGCGCGGGCTCTGTTAGAGTTGAAGCTGCCCAGCAGCATGGGGGACAATAAAAAGACTTTTTGAAGTAGATTAATGGGAAAAGAAGGAGCAGAGCAAACGTTGGTCTGATGAGCATGGTCACCTCACAATGAGGGACATAGACAAAGCAGAGACATTTAATGCATTTTTCACCTCTGCCTCTGTCTTGAACACCGATGATGGGCTCTGAGGCCCCAGCTACCCACAGCTGGGGGATGGCGAGAGCCAGCACAACAAACTCCCAGTTAACCCCGATCTTGTGCAGACTGGCTTCCCCACCTGGATGCGTACAAGCCAATGGGGCCTGATGGGATTCGTCCCAAAGTACTCTGAGAACTAGCTGGTGTCAGCTAGATCATTGTCATTGCCATTCAACGATATGAAGTTTAACAAGAGCAAGTGTCGGATTTTGCACCTGGGAAAGGGCAACAGGGCAACCCTGGTTATACAGACCGGTGGACGAGATGCTGGAGAGCAGCCAGAAGAAAGCGTTCTGGGGGTTTGGATCGACAGCAAACTGAGCACAAGCCAGCAGCGTGCCTTGGTGGCCAAGAGGGCCAACCGTATCCTGGGCTGGATCAAGGACAGCACTGTAGGTCAAAGGAAGTGATCATCCTGCTCTGCTCTGCGTTGGTGTGGCCCCACCTCGAGTACTGAGTGCAGCTCTGAGCACCACAGTACAAGAAAGATAAAAAACTGTTAGAGAGTGTCCGAAGAAGGGCAACAAAGGTGGTGAAGGGTCTAGAGGGGAAGACATATGAGGAGCGGCTGAAGTTGCTTGGATTGTTCAGCATGGAGAAGAGACGAGGGGAGGCCTCATGGCGGCCTGCAGCTCCCTCACGAGGGGAGCAGAGGGGCAGGCGCTGAGCTCTGCTCTCTGGGGACAGGACCCGAGGGAACGGCATGGAGCTGGGACAAGGGAGGGTCAGGCTGGGGGCTAGGGAAAGGGTCTGCACCCAGAGGTGGTCAGGCACTGGGACAGGCTGCCCAGGGACGTGGGCACGGCCCCGAGATTGATGGAGCTCAAGGAGCGTTTGGACACCGCTTTCACACACAGGGGCTGGTCCTTTGGGGACCCAGGAGTTGGACTCGATGATCCTTGTGGGTCCCTTCTAACTCAGATATTTGATCATTCCGTGATATTAAGTAATCAGCATGCTTTTCATGGCTGACAGTCATAAATTAACACAGCAGTTTGGGTTAAAGTTCAGTAGGTAATCAGAATGTGCATCACATCTAGGAGTCCTACAAAGACTTTGTCAATTGTCCTTAAGGACCAACTGGAATTAAAATATTGACATATATGTATACATTCACACATACATGCATAAATATATCTATATGTTTATAGGTCTGCCAGGTGCAGATAGGAAAACAGCCCCTTCCTCCCCCTCAGGGAGGAATTGCAAGTCCTGAAGTCAGAACAAGGGGTGTCCGGGAGGCGTTGGACCTGACTGAGCAAAAGCTTATCAGTAAACAAGGCGTGCATACTGGTTAAGTACCGAGCATGAAACCAAACTGCCAAGTTAATGTACAACTCACGGATGTGAAGCACTTACCAGTTAATCACTTTGCAAATCACCATGAAAAAGGTTTTGGGTTTCGATCTTTTAAAGGGATGGCCTCTACACCAGGTCCCTGGGTGGCTGCAGGAGAAAGCAGCACCCTCCCCGTGAGGCTCCTGCAGCACCCAGGCACACGTGTGCCCTGGGCCACCTCGAAACCCTCCCGGCGGCACAGAGTTTCGCCACCAACCCATGTCTTCAAGCAGCTTCCATGCTGGCCTCACCAGCGTGGCCACGCTGCAGCAGAGGCAGTGTCCCCGTGGAACCCTCGCAGCCACCACGAAGTGGCAGCAGCATTGCCGGTGGTGGTGGTGGTGGCGGCGTTGGCACTGGCAGCCTGGAGCATGGCCCTCGTGGCATTAGGGGGCATACAAGGCGCAGGCAGCACAAGCTCCTCCCATGGGGACACCCGGCAGGGCCTGGCAAAGGACACGGAGAACCCCGTGGATCCCAATAGCAGCCCCCACCTGTCCAGACCCCCCTGCTGCGACACTGCGCTGCTGCAGCAGCATTCCCAGAGACAAAGGCTGTGGCTGCTGGCACCACTGTGCCCAGCACTGGTGCAGGCACAGGAGAGCACTCAGCCTCCTGGCACGGACACTCGGCAGCCTACGAATACCCATGCACCAGCCCAGATCTTGGTTTCGATCCCGTGCAGCTCTGGAGGTGTGACTGTGGGGTTAGTTGTCCACTTCGCTGTCTGCATTTCAGCATGAGCCTTGCAGTGCTGCTCTGCTTCTAACCCAGCGTGCTTCCCCGGGCCCCCTTGCCTGTGCTCCAGTGTTTGAATGCAAAAATTGGCTGGAAATGAGAAGTGTGGCAGAGGAGGGGAGCAGGCCCAGCCTTGGCTTGTTCTTGTGGCGACCCCCCCTACCCACACCACTGCTGCTCTTAACACAGCAACAGACACGCCCCGGGTGGAGGTGCACACAGGGCCTGCATTTTGCCGTAATCCTCAGGTTAAATGCTCATTTTCTTGCCATTCTAAGCAAGCGGTGCAGAATTCTTACAGGGCTGCTTGCATTTCAAGCCTTCTTCCAGGTCAGCAGAAGTATTCTGTGCCCCCAGGAAATGTGCTGGGGCCCTCAGAGTCTCCAGCAGTTTGTGGCACACAGCCCCCAACCCCTCCAACACACTTCTTCTGCCCCTTCCCTTTGAGGAGCGGCTGAGGGAGCTGGGGTTGCTCAGCCTGGATAGGAGGAGGCTCGGGGGCGACCTTATTGCTCTCTACAAGTTCCTTAAAGGAGGCTGTAGCGAGGTGAGGGTTGGTCTGTTCTCCCATGTGCCTGGTGACAGGATGAGGGGGAACGGGCTAAAGTTGCGCCAGGGGAGGTTTAGGTTATTTATTAGGAAGAATTTCATTACGGAGAGGGTTGTGAGGCATTGGGATGGGCTGCCCAGGGAAGTGGTGGAGTCACCATCCCTGGAGGTCTTTAGCAGACGTTTAGATTTAGAGCTCAGTGATATGGTTTAGTGGAGGACTGGTTAGTGGTAGGTCAGAGGATGGACTGGGTGATCCTGGAGGGCTCTTCCAATCTAGATGGTTCTGGGATTCTGTGATTCCTCTTGTCATGCAAGGGATGGGGACAGCCAGGAGTCAGCACTGGATGCCTTCAGGACACACTGGAATGGTTTTAGGATAGCAATGATACTGCTTATGCCACTGGAGGTTACTGATACATTTACATACACGGATACCCATACAGCGCTACCTACAAAGCAGCTATTACACTAACTCTGGTATTTCCTCCAGTAACAATTCGACCTCAGAGTTATTTAATTGCAGAGATGCACGGTCTGTGTTTAGCTCTGAAGCAGTTTCTCTCACTGTGATCGCTTGAGAAAGAGGTCAGCCTGGCGTTCTGGGATTCCTCCCCCCTCCTAGGCTGCTTTCCGCAGCCTTTCTGGGTGGGAGAAGAACCTGGGGTGAGTCAGGCAGCCCCCCCGAGCACTCCCCCAGCCCACGCTCAGGTATGGCCACAGAGCTTCCCCTGCCTGCTGCACTCGCCTGGCAAGCAGTGAGACCTCACGCCCTTGCACAGCTCATGGCCACCACCAAACCCCAGCCTGGGGGGAGCTGCAGCTTGGGCCTGATCCTGAATGCACCTGGACCATTCTCCACCCTCCCTAACGGCTGTTTCAGCACTGCGGGTCACAGTGCACTGAAGGGCGCCTCTCCACACAGCAAGGCTCAGCATTTATGGGCATTTATTAGTGTTTATTAGCATTTATTAGCATTTATTAGATGAGCATCAGATTAGCATTTATTAGATGACTTTCTTTAGACCCAGCCATCACATACAATTACTCGCATTGCCCAGCGAAGGCAGGGGCAGCACAGCCAGTGACACCAGCAGCATCCCACTGCAGAGAGACCAAGGCTGGCACCACGAACCCTCCCAAAGCCCGGAGAAGTTCCTAGAGCCCTGGCTGCCACGGGGACAACAAGAGGCTTTGATCTCGGAAGCAGCGCTCCAGGCTGACCTGTGCTCTGAGGGGGCACATCTCACAGCCCTGATGTTCCCGTTGCTTTCAGCTTGCCGTGTCTTCAGACCAGGGAGGAGAGAGTCAGCGCAGTGGTGCTGCCAGCAGGGCAGTGCAGCTCTCTGCCACCCAGCCAAGGTCTCCGGCTTCCCAGCACAACAGAGCAGCAGAGGAGAATTACACGTTGCCAGACACCCATTGCACTCTCGCAGCCTGTCAGGAGAGCAATGGCACGGGCCAGGGGAAAAGGTAGGTCACTGACGGGACAGGAGGAAACGTCAAGAGAGGAAGGAGAGAGTGATCTTCAGAGCACGGCAGGAAAGGCACAAGAGAGGAAACATCGCCCGTCTGACCAAAGCCTTGTTGGCTAGAGTATAGGACAATGCTTTCCAAAAAACGTCCGTGTATGTTCCTCCAGCATTTCTCGCGTATAACACGGAGCATCTTTGTTCTTCTCTACCATCGCATCAATCATTTTAATGAGGTCTGCAACCTGCTGTTTCCTTCTCTGCTCTGCTGCTATGTTGCTGAAAGCAATGTACCTATTTTCACATTTTTCTGCAATCCCACTGAGGTGTGTGTTACTTTCCACGAAATCATGGATATCATCTGGACTCCCAAATTCTTCTGCTCGGGTGAATAACAGGATCATGTACTTCTGTGCCTCAGTATGGAAAGTCTTTGTCACCCACTCAGCCACTTCCACCTCTTCTGTACCGATGTGGGCCAGTTGCATCACCAGGATGATAGCATGCACCCCTCCATAGAAGTGACGAAGAGCATTTCCAATCAGTTCAGCTGTTTCCTTATTGGCTCTCTGGGTGTCAAAAAGGCCAGGAGTGTCAATAACGGCAATTTCTCTTCCACGGAATGAGGCAGTGTCTGCACTGTAGTTCTTGGTCACTGAATCTGGTGACACCAGAGATTCAAATGCTTTCTTCCCAAGGATGGAGTTCCCTGTCGCACTCTTCCCACTTCCAGTTTTGCCCACGAGCAGGATGTTCAGCCTGCGTCCTGGGGGAACAACCAGAGACACGTGTCTGAACCTCACAGCCCTGTGGTGCCGGGACATCCCCTGCAGGCCACGCTCCCAGGGGTGAGAAGGAAAGGGTTTTTACTGCAAAAACACAGGAATTAGGGTTAGCGGCCCCAGCAGCGGTCCCCAGGGACCATCAGGAGCAACAAGAGGGACCCCAGGGGAGTCTGGATAAGGCTGCCTCAGAGGGCCAGCACCCAGACCTCTTCCAAAGGCAGAAAGAGAAAGCAGAAGTGCATGCTGCAGCTCTCCAGCAGTGCAGGAATGCACAGAGTGCTCAAACGGCCGGGCTGAAGCACTCCCTTTACAAGAAGTCATGTTCTGAGCCAGAAACACCCTCTGGATTCTGTGCTGGATCACCGCAGGACCTCAGCCTGCCCTGCACGGCCCCAGCAGGGCTAGAGCTGGCTCAGGCACACAGATAGCGAGGTTTTGGGGCAGGACTTTGCACCCTGCGCTGTGCCTCCGGCTGTAACCAACGGCTGCTGCCCCATGTGCCCTGAGCCTGGCACAGCACAGCCTAAGGAGTGGGAAGAGGAGAGGCAGCCTCGGGAAATCCTCGAGCCCGTGGCCTCCCCAGAGGGCCCGTGCACCGCGTGCACAAGCGTGCGTGAGGCTGCACGAGGACGCAAACCCAGCCTCACCCTCAGCAGCACTGCGCCCGGCTGACTGAATGAGGAGGCTGCTAAAGGAGAAGGCTGTTTGCACCAGGGGAGTTTTAGGTTGGATGTTAGGAAGAACTTCTTTACCGAAAGGGTTGTTAGACATTGGAACAGGCTGCCCAGGGAAGTGGTGGAGTCACCATCCCTGGAAGTCTTTAAAAGACGTTTAGATGTAGAGCTTAGGGATATGGGTTAGTGGGGACTGTTAGTGTTAGGTCACAGGTTGGATTCGATGATCTTGAGGTCTCTTCCAACCCAGAAATTCTGTGAAATTCTGCTGTGGGGAGACCTCACAGCGGCCCTCAGTGCCTGCAGGGGCTGCAGGAGGGGGGAGGGACTCTTGGGCAGGGGTGTAGGGATAGGACACGGGGTGACGGCTTTAAGGTAGAAGAGGGTGGGTTTGGGTTAGATTCGAGGCAGAAATTCTTTACTATGAGGGCGGTGAGGCCTGGCGCAGGCTGCCCCCAGGAGCTGCGGGTGCCCCATCCCTGGCAGTGCCCAAGGCCAGGCTGGATGGGGCTGGGGGCGGCCACTCTGTGGCTCTGTGACCATGGGACTCTAAGCTCCTCCAGGCTCTGGCTGCTGCGTGCAGTGGGTAAGGAGCTCACCTTTCATCTGAGTGTCTGCCAAATTTGAGCCCACTCCGAGGGGAAGCCTGAAAGAAGAATAAGGGATTTTGAGCGAGGTTTGCCAAAGTCTCCCGTGCTCCCCCCACAGCAGTAACAAGGCCAATGATGATCACCAGGCTGTCAGGTCACTAACACACCTGGTGTGTGCGTGCTGCCTGCTGTGTGTGCATGCAGGAAGTGGTTGTACAGCCGAGGGTAAACGCACAGGGCAAGGGCTGCTCCTTCAGCTGCTTGTGGCCAACTTGGGAGGGGATCCCGATGCCTTGGGGAACGAGGAGCTGGCAGGGAACTCAGCTCGGTCACTGGCAACCCTTGCAGTGCTTTGGGAAACCTGCGAGCTCTCCAGAGGCCACCAACTGGAGCAGGAGCCTCCCCCCAGAATCGCCGTCAGTTCAGTGCCCTCGTCCCGCACCTGAACCTCCAGCCCTGAGCCTGAGCGCTGTGCGGGGTCCGTCCCTGCCACTGATCGTGCTATGGGTGCCAGCTGTCACGTCTCCTGCCCCTGTTTGAGCTCTGGACTCTGCCTCAAGTGATTTCAGCAAGATAAACTGCTCCAAAACTAAGCACAGACTATACACTACTCAAAGTAAACTAAAATCACGTCACTAAATAATTCAGTCATTACTGGAGGAATTACCCCATCCACAGCAAAGCCACAGCACTTCTCGGCTCTCTTTCTCTGCCTCCCTGCCAGCTTGCTCAGGCTTAGCAGTTCCTAAAGTACCCCCAAATACCGAGACCCTACAGAGCCACCCGGTGCACAGACCGCTCACTTCGCATGGCTCCAGCAGCGGCTGCTGTGCTTGCCTCTTACCTCCTCAGGTCACAGCGCTTGGGCCAGGTGCAATACAGTTCACGTCTCGCCCCTGACCGTGTCCTCAGCTCTCTGCTTTCTGTTCCTTGCCAGCACGAGAACGATGCTTTTATCACCTAACCACACGTGGCAGCCCCAGCCCAGGCAGACAATCCACCCAGACCCATGGGTACCTGCGCCCTTCATTTGAGCTGAGAGATGCTCGTGCCCTGCCGAGCCCTGGGTTGCACCAACCAGCCTCCGTTTGAGCCTCCGGGGCTCGGCATCATGGTAAGAAACAGATGTGCAATGAAACAACTAGAACCCGTGTCAGCTGGGAAATCCCACAACAGAACCGGCATGTAGAACAAACCACATCTAAAACAAAAAGCAGGGACAAGTACTACATTTTAACGCACCCAAGAAGACTGTTCTGTCCACGAAACAAGCATAAAATTAAGAATGGCTTCAGTAATTAGAAAGTATGTGAAAGGTTCATATGGCACGCTTAGGGGGAAATATATTTAAAAGCTTGATTGTAACTTAAATGAGTCAATTTCTTCCTAGACACTTTAAGGCAGGTCGGAGAACTTTTTCACCCTTTTGATATTCCTATGGTGCAGACATTTCCACCCCCTCCATCGTAACTGGACGATGCTGCAAAAACATCCCCAGGTGGGGAGATCACCACAATCCGTGTAAGCCCTACCAGAAAAGAAGTAACCAGAAAACCTGGTGGAGGAGGTAGAGGGCTCTGTGTTCATGTGTGTACCGCCATCCTGACCCAAAACAGAACACCAGTGTCCAGGCATGAGACACAGAATGCACCTGGCAGCATGGCACTTCTGGCCAGATGAATCACAGAATGAATCCTACAATGGTTTGGGTTGGAAGGGATCTCAAAATTTAGGTTTCAGTGTTTAATTTTGAACCAGTTTCTCTTGGTGCAATCGCTCCAGGGAGCACCCAGAGCAGGGGCAGGAGATGAGGCAGCTGCCACCTGCATCATAGTCAGGGGCTGTTACGGACCCTGCTCACCGCTCAGGGCTATCCTATCCCTACACCCTGCCGCCCAAGAGTGCCTCCCGAGACCTCCTGCACCCCCTGCAGGCCCTGAAGGCCGCTGTGAGGTCTCCCCTGGGCCTTCTCCTCTCCAGGCTGAGCAACCCCAAGCTTCTCGGCCTCTCCTCACAGCAGAGCTGCTCCAGCCTCCGAGCATCCCCGTGGCCTCCTCTGGACTCGCCCCAGCAGCTCCACGTCCCAATGCTGGGACCCCACAGCGAAGGCAGTGCCCGGGGGGTCTCACGAGACGGGGCACAGGGGGACAATCCCCTCCCTCACCTGCTGGATGGGGGGCTGCGACCATGCAGGGGACATCAGGTGCCTCCATGGTGCGGGTCCCATCCCTGAGCCACGGCCCTTGCTGTGGGATTGCACGGGACTCCCACCCTCGCACCCCTTTGTGCCTGCAGGAGGGGACCCTGCTCTGCCAGCGCTCAGGAAACGTTTCCAAGTGTTCCTCTTCCTCATTGTAGCACACGAGCCTCAACGCTGGTGAGGGGAACCTTGAACTGGGAGCAGGGGGAAGGCAGGGACATTCAGCCTGGTGAGGACGGGGTGGGCAGGAATGGCGAGAAAAAATACTTCTTTCTCCCCACACTCATGGTGCTCCCTGGCTCCGCAGGCACCTGCAGAGCTGGCAGTGACAGCTCCGACCCCTGCCCCCACACCCCGGGGGCTCCCCGCCATGGGTCAGTGATCACAGCAAAGCATGAAACTGCACCGAAGCGCAGGGCAGCCCGTGTTCCTGAAGGCAGGGAGGTGCGCATGAGAAATGGAGCCTGTGCCTGTGTGCAGCTCCACAGCACATGAGCCTGGGGTCAGGGCACCTCCGTGGGACGGCATCTCATCCTGTGTCACGGCACTTCCCTGTCAAAGCTCCTGGTGGTTTCAGATGCTCAGAACTGCTGCCACCAGGGCTATTTCTGCTGTCACGTACGTGTGACCAACCTGTCCCACCTGTCCCTAGGATGCTCTTTGCCCGGGGTCCTACCTCAGTGACGTGGATCTCCTGCAACCTGCGCATGTGGCCTCGACCCTGAGAAACAGCAGCAGCACCTGAGGGGCAGCAGGAGAGAGGGCTTTGTCCCTTGGTGTCCCTGACAGGGTCCCTCGGTGTCCCTCCTGGGCCAGCTGGCATCTGGCCCATCACCCTGTGCCCCTTGTCCTTCACCCCTCCACCCCCGTGCCAGGCCAAGGTGGCTCCCCACATCCCATGCCAGCCTGCGGGGACATGAGGTGATCTCAGCCCATGGCAGTGAGGGGAATGTGACCAGTTCTGTCCTCAACCTGCTGCCACCAGAGCTGCTCAGGGATGGGTCCCCTCTGCGTGTCCCCAGGTCCGCAGCCGTCCCTGCAATGCCCTGGGCACATCCCTGGCATCGAGCTGGAGACACAGCAGAAACCGCTCAGCAGCCACAAGCTTTGTGCTGCAGTTTTGTGCCGAGAGGCACAGCCCATAGGGACCAGGGACTGCGGTGCTGTTAGAGGGGGAATCAGCTGCTTGCCATGTTGTTAAGCAACACAGTGCAATTACATGAGAGAAGTAGTACAGCACAGTGTATTCTAGTTCTACTCTGCTTCTAGTGAAAGAAGCGGTTGTACAGCCGGACAACTGCCCTCCAACCACCGAGGAACGCCTGCCGCAGAAAGCGCGCAATGCGCCGGACTGCTGCCACGATGAAGTGGCAGGTTGAGGACAGAACTGCCACGATGAAGCGGCAGCAGCAGCACAGGCACATGTATAGCATGGACCACAGCCCCTGCACACACCGTCTGAGCAACGCCGGGACGCCGTCTCCTTGTTGGCCTTCAGCTGCTGCTCCACTTGCTTCGCGAGGTGCTTGCACTTCTCTTCGAAATCCACGTCGCTGCGGCTGAGGAGCCGCGTGGCCTGGGAGTAGAGCTCGCTCGTGTAATGGGTGTTCTGGTTCTCCTCCAGCACCCGCTGCACCAGCACCATCAGCTCCTCGACCTGGGCTTCGCGCTCGGCGCGGCCGCCCGGTTGCTGAAGGCGCAGCACCGTCCCCCGCAGGCCTGCAGCAGCGCCTGCAGGGTGGTGCTTCTGGCCACGTAGTGCTGCAGGGAGCCACCCCTCAGGTCCTCTTTGCGGGTGAAGAGGACGATGGTGTGCCTCGCAGCCTTGTGCCCCAGCACCCGCCACACTTGCCGGGCGGCCTTCCTCCTCCTGCGTGAAGCGGCCCAGCTGGGTCACCAGCACCAGCACGTGCGGCCCCGGCGCCGACAGCAGCAGGCAGCGGGCAAGCTCGTAGCAGGACCGGGCGCTGTGCTCCGGTGAGTCAAACATGCAGGGGTGTCGGTGACCACCACCCTGCGGCCCCGCCAGAGCCGGCTCTCCCGGGCACATGTCTGTGTTACCGAATTTGGCGCCAGGCGTGACTCGAAGGCCGCCCCGCCCCAGGATGGTGTTCCCCGTTGCGCTTTTCCCTGCACCGGTCTTCCCGACGAGTAGCAGGCGCAGCTCCATGTGCTCCTGGGTCCCCTGGCCTGCTGGAATCGGTGAGGGGAAAGGCTCAGTGAGAGAGCAGCAGTGTGTAAAGCACTGCCTGGGGTGGGGCATGCATGGAAACAGCCCGGCACAGGGGCACAGAGCTGCCTGTGCCACCCCGGGGATTCTCTTACCTCCCCAGGGATACCCGTGACACCCCAGGGATACCCGTGACACCCCAGGGATGCCTGTCCCCTCTCCACGTGCACGGCACTGCTTGGCACATGCATGCTCTGTCCCCAAAACCCCCCCACCGGCAGGGAGACTGCCAGGAGAGCCCGGTCCCCGCGGTGCCTGCGGTGGCACGAGGACACCGAACCCCCCTGCGAGGGGGCTCTGGGGCAGCGCAGTGCCTGGCCCTTGCACCCTTACCGTGATCCTCCCAGGAGCCACTCGCCATCGTGCTCTGCCACAGTGTCAGTGCAGGAAGGGTGATGCCAGAGCTGGGTCACAGGCTGCAGGGGGACAGAGAGCAAACACACGTGCAGGGTGAAGGCTTTCCCGCTGGGCTTGGGGATAAGGGCGATGGCAGGCTGTGACAAAGCCCTTGAGAAGGCCGAGCCTGCAGCGCCAGCCCAGCCAGCAGCAGGCTTAGCCATGCACCATTCGCCTGTAGGTGAGCAACGCCGGCTGCTCCCGATCCCTGCGTTCAGAAGCAGCCCCCCAGGGACCTGCTGCACGGTTTCTGCGCTGCTGAGCTGTGACTCTGGAGCCGTGCAGTGCACTGGGGAGCAAACCCGGTGAGCACCAAGCCCCTGCAACCTACCCATGGCTCCGGGTGCAGCAGTGTCCCTGGGCAGGAGGTGCCCGTGCCCGGCCCCAGCTTTTAGTCTGGGGCTGCGGGGGCGGGATCTGAGTGCAGCAGGGCTGGGCGCAAGGTTCACAGGGTGGGGGCTCTGCAAGGACAGCCCAGAAACACTCGTGGGGGGCATGGAGCTGTGGGGGGCGGTTTGCTGCATGCTCTGCGGGGCACACCCAGCCCCAGCTGCAAACACCGAGGGTCCGGCTCTGCTCCTGGGCTGCCTTCCCTTGGCCCCACGGTGACCTCTCAAAAAGCACTGGGAAAGCTCGGTCTGTGCAAATGAGGGAACGCATGGCCTGGAAATAAACCTCAGTGGTCATGAGGTTGACGAGACGATGAGGTGCAGCCTCCTACCAGAGGAGTTTTGGTCTGATGCTCATGCAAACACAGCCGGAGGCTCCCTTTTCCACCCAGGCTGTGGTGTGTGAGGCCGCAGTCTCCTGAGCTGGGGACGTTTTGTGGCACAGCACAAACCGGTGTTCAGCCCCTGCCCGGCCCCTCTGCTAAGCCCAGGTCCCTCGCAGGAGGCAGGGACCCCCTCCTCCAGCCCCTGCGTACCACAGCCCCAGCACGCTGCTCGTGCTTTGGACCAAGGCACTCGAGCACCACGTTGGTGCGGGGAATGGCACTGGGAGCTGGGCACCAGGGGTCAGGGACACAGGCGCTGGGACCTGGGGTCACCGGGACATTGTGGCACTGCGTGTCACCTGGGGCACTGGGGGCACTGGGACACCGGGATCTGTGACATGGGGACATGGGGCTGGGGGCTGGGACATCGTGACGTGGGGACACGGGTGTCAGGGACCTGGGGACCTGGGAACATTGGGGCACAGGGACCTGTGACACAGGGACATTGGGAATGGGGACACTGGGTGTCAGGAACCTCTGGCCGCAGGGAGCAGCGCCATGGCAGCGGCTGCCCAGCCAGCAGCTCGGGGAGGTGGAGGAGAGCTCCTGACATCTCGGGAACGTGGCCAGAGGGACCCCAAAGGCTTCAGCCTCTGAAGGGGACACCCAAGGACAAGCACAAGAGCCAGGGGCTGCCAAGGCAAGGCTTGAAATTAAAGCCTGAGGAGCAAAGCTCCAGTTCTGGCCAGAACCTGGCTCCCCTGGGGCTCTGGCAGAGCCCTGCTGTGTCCATCACCTCTCAGGCACCTCGGAGGTTGCAGCAGTGCTGCACACCCAGCATGCGTGCTCTGAGAGCACAGGTAAGAAAGGAGAAAAAATACCCAAACCCTGCTACACTACAGCCGCTGGGAGAGAGGAGAGAGACCCAGCCCTGCAGCCCCCAGGGGAGTGCAGCAGGAGGCAGGAGGTGCTCCAGGCACGCAGCAGCAGTTCCCCTGCGGGGGAACCTGCAGGGCACAGCCAGCCCCAGCTGCAAACACCGAGGGTCCAGCAAACAGGCTTTTCCCGTAAATGTGCTGAGTTTGCACTGCACTATTGCAGGAAGCGGGACTAAGGGCAACGCCCTGAGACAATTCCACGGCGCTGCTGCTGCCCTAAGCATGAGCAGCGTGGAGCAGCCCCGCTTCCCCCAACCATGGCCCTGGGCTCTTACAGGACGATGTCCCCCAGCGTCCCACCTTTGCAGCCCTGGGGTTCGGTACCCACATGGCCCCAGGCACGCAGCAGGCGCGCAGCAGCCCCGAGCACACAGCAGCCCTGGAGAATGCTGCTCCTGGTGCCCTTCAGCACACCCTGCATGCAGGACAAGCTCCCAAGGTGGGCTCGGGGGTGGCCAGGGGCTTCCGGCACCACAACACCATGCACATCTCCACAGCAGAGCTGTGGTCTCCAAAGGTGCCCTGAGTTTTGTGTAGGGTCCGTCCCAACCCCTGACCGCAGTGCAGGCTGCAGCTGCCTCGTCTCCTGCCCCTTCTTCTGTCACGGCTCTGCCTCCAGTCCCACCAGCAGCAGGAACTGCTTGAAAACTAAGCACAGATCATCGCGGGAGTTAAATAACTCTGAGGCCGGATTGTTTATGGAGGAAGTACAGGAGGTAGCGTTAGAGCTGTCTGAACCTCCAGGGCTGCACAGAATCGAAACCAAGCTGGGGGCTGGTGCAGGAGGAGCCGGTGCTGCCCTTGTGGCATGAGCACAGTTCTCCAGGCTGACACCGGCCGTCACCGCTGTCACTTCCTGGTGGCTGTGAGCATCCCACAGGGACAAGGCGAACGCCAGCGCAGGACATGCAGGAAGGTACGGGCGGGAGGCCAGGGGCTGCGAGGCTCCGTGCCGGCGGGGAGGCTCCGAGGGGGCCTGGGGACCTGGTGCAGGGCAGCGGGGCAGGGAAGTGGCTCTTCCCCAGTCCCCTCCTCTCTCTTTCCCTTCTCCCCACTCCTCGCTCCCAATGCTCTGCATGGGCACAGCCCCAGCCCAGGGGAGGCCCTGGGCACCGTGCTCAGCCCCACGGGGCCACAGCTGCACGGGTGTCACTGCCCCAAGGGTCCCTGCCACCACCCGAGGGTCCCTGCCACCACGCTGCCTTCCCCCACC